GAGAGACAAGCACGTACCAGCTTGACGATGTGTGTCAGGCACAGCTGCCTTAAAGCCGAAATGAACTCGGCGTCGAATTCAGCGTCGGTGTACCACGCCCCTCCCGTCACCTCCCGGGATGGCTCGAGCTCGTATAGCATGTAGAGCTTGCGACTCTTGTTCTTCAAGAGTGCAGAACCACAGGAACAGAGGGAACGTAGGCAGCACAGAGATAAATGAGGGAAGGTAATGGCGGAATCGGCGTACCATGCCCCTCCTGTCACCTCCCGAGACGGCTCCAGCTCGTACATCATGTAGCGCTTTCAGCTCGACTAGCATCAACTGCATGGAATCATGCTGACAGCATTGACTACCATAGACGTCTTTATCAGCTTCCTTCCCTCAAGCGTTTTAATGATCTTGGTGGTCTGCCGCTGCTGCCGGTTGGTTACCTTGACTCACACTGAGAATGTCACAAGATCAGCTGCTGCAGGTTGATTACCTTGAATCACACTGAGAATGTCACAAGATCAGCTGCTGCAGGTTGATTACCTTGACTCACACTGAGAATGTCACAAGATCAGCTGCTGCAGGTTGGTTACCTTGACTCACAGTCCGTCAGCGTGAGTCAACTGTCCCCCTCCTTTCTGTCGCCTCTCGTCACCTCTCCCATGCAGTTGGTTACATTAATGCAGTTGGTTACATTAATGCAGTTGGTTACATTAATGCAGTTGGTTACATTAATGCAGTTGGTTACATTAATGCAGTTGGTTACATTAACTCACGCTGACGGACTGACTTTACTGCCTTGTCTCAAGTTGGCTAGTTTGGCTCACATTGACTGCATGGACTCACATTGACTGCATGGACTCACATTGACTGCATGGACTCACATTGACTGCATGGACTCACATTGACTGCATGGACTCACATTGACCGATTTGACTGCCTTTATCAGCTTCCTTCCTTCCAGCGTTTTGATGATCTTGGTGATCTGCCGCTGCTGGGTCGACTGCCTTGACCCACAGTGACCAACTTGACTGTTTTGTCTCATATTGACCAGCTTGACTCACATTGACCGACTTGACTGCCTTTATAAGCTTCCTGCCCTCCAGCGTTTTAATGATTTTGGTGATTTGCGGCTGCTGCAGGTTGGTGCGAGTCTTCATGTCCCGCGTCCAGATGCCTGTTGGGATGGAGAGAGGGGATAAAGTACGGTGGGAAGAGCGGGCAGTAAGAGCGGGTGATGTGGGCTGCTGCAGGTTGGTGCGAGTCTTCATGTCACGCGTCCAGATGCCTGTTGGATGGGGGTAGGTATGGCAGGGAGGATATTAAAGCATCGTGGTGGGGGTGAGAGAGAGGGAAAGCACAGCGTTGGCAGGACAAGAGCACGATCTGCGGCTGCTGCAGGTTGGTGCGAGTCTTCATGTCACGCGTCCAGATGCCTGTTGGATGGGGGTAGGTATGGCAGGGAGGATATTAAAGCATCGTGGTGGGGGTGAGAGAGAGGGAAAGCACAGCGTTGGCAGGACAAGAGCACGATCTGCGGCTGCTGCAGGTTGGTGCGAGTCTTCATGTCACGCGTCCAGATGCCTGTTGGATGGGGGTAGGTATGGCAGGGAGGATATTAAAGCATCGTGGTGGGGGTGAGAGAGAGGGAAAGCACAGCGTTGGCAGGACAAGAGCACGATCTGCGGCTGCTGCAGGTTGGTGCGAGTCTTCATGTCACGCGTCCAGATGCCTGTTGGATGGGGGTAGGTATGGCAGGGAGGATATTAAAGCATCGTGGTGGGGGTGAGAGAGAGGGAAAGCACAGCGTTGGCAGGACAAGAGCACGATCTGCGGCTGCTGCAGGTTGGTGCGAGTCTTCATGTCCCGTGTCCAGATGCCTCTCCAATGTGGGGTTGTATTGAAAAATGGTGGTGGGGGTTGTGAACAGGCAAGGCAGTCGGATAGGGCAGGAGTGGAGGTAGCAAAAAAGAGTGATGTGGGGTGATGTGGGGTGGTGCATGACGTCTTATCACGGATCCGGATGCTCGTCAAAAGAGGACAGGTGGGCTGTTTTGAGACGTCTCAAAACACTTCTTCAAACACGTGATGCAGGTTGGTGCATGACGTCTTATCACGGATCCGGATGCTCGTCGAGTGGGTTGGGGAAGCAAAGAAAAGGAAAATGCCGCATGCATGCATGCATGCAGCCTCTGCCTGCCCGATAAATGAGCCTGCCTGCTTAATGCTTGCTTACCTGCATTGCCCGCTTGCTTGATGGCTTGATACAGTACGAGATCTTCTGGGCTCAACCCCTTGAAAGGAGCGAGCAGCAAGCAGCACACAGCAAGACACACGCAGCAAGCAGCACACAGCAAGACGCCTATACCTGTTTTGCCCTCTTCCTTGCACACCTGCATTGCCTGCTTGCTTGATGGCTTGATACAACAGAAGATCTTCTGGGCTCAACCCCTTGAACCTGGTGGGATGGGGGCACGGAGGAGGTTGGAATTTCAGGTTTGGAATGACAGGTATGGAAAGGGAGGTATGGAATGGCAAGTATGGAAAGGGAGGCATGGAACGGGAGCTGTGAAAATCGATGTAGGGAACGGCAGGCATGGTATGACAGGTTTGGAATGACAGGTTTGGATCGACAGGCTTGGAATGACAGGCTTGGAATGACAGGTTTGGAATGACAGCTATGGAATGAAGGGTGTGGGAGTGGAGGCATGGAATGGGAGGTTGGAAAGGGAGGCAGGGAAGCAGCTTTCACGCCACCTGGTCTCGGCTCACGTGCTTGTGCAAGAGCGTGTCTACCCAATGTGAGGTGCCACGTCACATTGCCACACTGTTACATACATTACATCCCCATATTGTCATCAGCAGCACTCACGCCACCTGGTCTTGGCTCACGTGCTTGTACAAGAGCGTGCCACCTGACTTCAGGTGCCATGTTACATTGCCACGTTTCAGGTGCCATGTTACATTGCCACGTTTCAGGTGCCATGTTACATTGCCACGTTTCAGGTGCCATGTTACATTGCCACGTTTCAGGTGCCATGTTACATTGCCACGTTTCAGGTGCCATGTTACATTGCCACGTTTCAGGTGCCATGTTACATTGCCACGTTTCAGGTGCCATGTTCCATTGCCACGTTTCAGGTGCCATGTTACATTGTTACATCTGATAATGGTTACATTGCATGATTTGTTACATAGCCATATCGTCACCACCAGCTGCACTCACTGCACGGCTTGGTCTTGGCTGACATGCTTGTACAGGAGCGTGTCACCTGATTTGAACAGCTGAAGTGCTCTCTAAAGAGGATAAAACACAGTGGAGGGGGATATGGAGAGAGAGGGAGGGGGTAGGAAACGGACAGATTGAGGCGCGCAAAAGAGGATAAGCAGATTGCAGAGGGAGTCGAGGGGAAAGAGGGTGGGTTGGGTTGAGAGAAGATGAAAGGGGATGGCAAGAACCATAACTTTTTTGCAGCAGCCAATCAATGGCACTGGCACACCGGCAATCATACGCACGCACATAACCTCACAAAAGTTAACACACAGACACAAGAGCCATGCCTTTTGCAGCAGCCCATTGATGGCGTTGACCCGGTCAGCCAGAGGCAGGCACACATGCATCCCCAATCATACACACGCACAAAACCGCACACAGCAGCGAAAAACCTCAGAGGCAAGAGCCATACCTTTTGCAGCAGCCCATTGATGGCGTTGACTCGGTCAGCCAGAGGCACGTATGAGAGCTCCGACTCGAGAATCTTATCCGATAGACCCTGGATTGGATTCGATTTGATTTGCAATGAGGCGAATAAAGAGAAAAAATGCGGGTCAGTAAGTCAGAGGCCAGGCCGGGGGCACATGTGAGAGCTCCGACTCAAGAATCTTATCCGATTTACCCTGGATAGGATTTGATGGGGTGGATGCACATGACAGGAGCTTGGTAGAATAGCATTGGTGTGGATAAGAGAGAATGGATGCAGACTCGGGGGCATTGAACCTCATCACGGCCCAGCAGGATTTGATGGGGTGGATGGACATGACAGGAGTTTGGTATAATAGCATTGGTGTGAATAAGAGAGAATGGATGCAGACACGAGGGCATTGAATTGAGGTGGATAAAGAAAAGAGTTTCGAACTGAAAGGACTTTTGAGTCCACTGAAAAGTCGGCTTGCTGTGGATAAGAGGGAATGGATGCAGACACGAGGGCATTGAGGTGAGGTGGATGATTTTTTTTTCAAACTGAAAGGAGAGCACAGGATGAAATACAAGGGGCATTCAGTTCTCTTGAACCCGTACCTCGCAGATCTCGTGACTCCCTACCTCGGGGTTCTTCTGGCACAGACAGCTCCAGGATGCTCTTTTCCAGCGACGACAGCGATGACGCTGCCAACGCTCAGACTACAACGCCTTCTTAGAAGCTTCCATGTCAATTTCACCTTGGGGTTCTCCCGGCATCCCCATTGCCCTTCACCAGTCCGTTCCCTACCTCGGGGTTCTCCTGGCACAGCTCCAGGATGCTCTTTTCCAGCGATGACAGCGATGACCCTGCCATGGCTTCCAAATAGTAGCTTCTTAGCAGTAGTCGCTTCCAAGCCTCCTTGCTTCCGCGCCTCAGATCAAAACTTCCAAGCTTCAAGCTTCCAAGCAGTTCCCCCAAACTCCTTCTTCAGAGGTGACTAACTAACAACTCACAAGCCTCCTAGCCTCCAAATCTCCAAGTCTCCAAGCCTCCTACCCTCCAAGCCTCATACCCTCCAAGCCTCTAAGCCTCCTACTCTCCAAGCCTCCAAGCCTCCAAGCTTCCTAGCCTCGCAGCCTCCAAGCCTCCTAAACTCCAAGCCTCCTAGCCTCGCAGCCTCCAAGCCTCCTAAACTCCAAGCCTCCTAGCCTCCACGCCTGCAAGCCTTGTAGCCTCCAAGTCTCCTAGCCTCCTAGCGTTCCCCCCTTGCTTCTTCCCTTGTGATTAAGAGTCTATTAAGGGTACAAGCTTGCTAGCCTTCTTACCCCTAACCTAACCTTCTTTCCTTCTTCTCCTAGCAAGTCCCCCCTCTTCAAACCCGTCCCCCTTTTCTTCTTTCTCCTCCTCCTCCTCCTCCTCCTCCTCCTCCTCCTCCTCCTCCTCCTCCTCCTCCTCCTCCTCCTCCTCCTCCTCCTCCTCCTCCTCCTCCTCCTCCTCCTCCTCCTCCTCCTCCTCCTCCTCCTCCTCCTCCTCCTCCTCCTCCTCCTCCTCCTCCTTCCCCCCTTCCTCTCCGCACCCCCCTGCTTTTCTTGAAGTCAGATTCTCCCGGCCTGAGCTGAATACGCGGCGAGAAAATAACTCATGCGCTGCTGCCAGAACCAAGGGCTCGCGTGCTACCCGGCAGATCGTCTAGACGGCTCGCGTGCGGCCCGGCCGATTGTGCTGACGGTTCGAGTGCTGCCCGGCCGTTTGTGCTGACGGTTCGAGTGCTGCTCCGCCCACTGCGATCTAGCCAGCACGATTGCCGGGTAACACACTGCGCTATCGAAGTCCTGACTTGGTCAGCTCAGACACTGCCTCGAACTGCCACTCCCCGCCCTGCCCGTCCCAATCGTTTTGGCCGGGACGTTCGGGTCTGAGAGGTCTCAACTCAAAACGCGAAAAGCCGATTCAGTGTAGGCGAAACGGCAAGAGACGCGCGCTTATCACTAGCAGTGACGTAGCTGGACAAGCTAATCGTTCTGCGGGAATTTGCTTGGCGCACCGACTAGGGGAACAACCGCTGAGGTATTTACGACTGAACTGGGTTCGTGATTTGGGTCCGAAGCAGCAGTTCGAGATTTGCGAATGGTCACGAACCACGCCGAACCTCAGTAATTCAAAACTTGGGACTGGTTGCGATTCATGGGATGCTGACCTTCAGGGGGTTGCATTTCAGTTTGCGGTGCTAGTAGTTGGGTAGTTTAACTAAGCACAAAATTGTCAACTGGCTCTTAACAAAGTAGCAAGCTCATAAACCCCCGAGAAATGCAGATTCCTCTCTCTGGCTGAAATGGTTCATTGCTGCGTGACCCTTCGACGCATCTGAAATCCGTTCCGCCTTGAACTTGCCGATCTGATCCGAATTCGGAAAACCGAACAAAAATATTTATAATAAGGAATTCTGAACAAACTCGGTTCTATAGACTGTTGGGCTTGCTCCACTCCCACAACCGCGAAAAATCCGCTACAAAAAGCATCCCATCCCATCACATCACATCAACATACGTCAATCCCTAGGTGAGGGAATTACGGGAGGCTTAGTATGCGTTCATCGATTTATTAGTGGCAACACCTCAAAGCTCTACGATTAGGGTTCTTTTCTCTTTACCACGTGCCTTTTTGGTTTCTTCACCACGTGCTTATCCCACTTAGCTTAGCTGCTCTCTTGCCGTCCATGGCGACAATGGCGGGTAGCAATGATTCGGACGCAGCAGGCGAACCCTCCGCGTCCACCGCTAACGAACCCACGGGTTTCGACGCGGCTCCAGCCACGTTTCAAGAAGCCCCATCCGCGTTCCAAGAATCTTCGTCAAACGCAGATGAAGAATCGAATCAGCTGCCAGAATCTACTCCTCAGGGTCCCACGGGGACATCGATCGGTCCCGACTCGGCGACGTATTCTGGCGAACCGGCAACATTCAATAACGAATCTGCACCGTATAACGGCGACTCGGCGACGTATGAAAACGAATCTGCACCGTATAACGGCGAATCGACGACCTACGGTCAAGATTCGTCGCAAGATCAGATCAGAGACGGAGGAGGATCCGAATCAGATCCCAACCTTCCGTCATCCTTATCCGTATCTTCCAGCCTCCCAGCGTCCCTATCCGCCTCCTCGCCATTTCCCGCCGTAATTGCTCCGCAAGGAATCAGCCCCGCGCCATACCCTCCTCAGAACATGGCTCTCTCTCAGCCTAGCCCGGGACCCCAGGCCGTTCCTGTAACGAACGTGATCTCTCCTTATCAGCACTTTCCGGGATCGTCACCGGATCAATACCCGTCGTTATTTCAGCAGTACCAGCCGTGGAACAGCCACGCGGGGGGCCCGTTCGGGATGCCTCCGCTGCTCCCCGGCGCCCCGCAACAGTTCCCCCCTGCCTCCCCGCAACAGTACTCCCCCGCCCCCCCGCAGTTCCCCCCCGCATCCCCCCAACAATTCGCCCCGCCGTCCCCGCAGTTTCCGCCGGGGTCCACGCAGCAGTTCCCTCCGGCCTCCCCGCATCAGTTCCCCCCAGCATCTCCGCAGTTCCCCCAGGGCTCCGCGCAGCAGTTTCCGCCGCAGCAGTTTCCCCCGCAGCAGTTTCCGCCGCAGCAGATGTTCGGAATGGGGTTCGCGCGCGGACCTCCGGGGCAGTTTTCCCCTTCCCCCAACTTCTCTCCGCCAACCATGTCCGCGCAAAACGTCCCCCCCGGTCTGGGCGCGCAAGCCATGAGTCCGCTGATGGGTCCGCCGTCCGGTTTCGGGCCCCATAACATCCCCCGGAACGTAAATGCTAACGTTAACGTTAACGTAAACGGGCCCGCTGGTTACAACGCTCCCGGCCAAGGGTTTGGTAACCCGGGTCAGGGTAATTACGCGAATCGGAATCCTAATAACCCTAGAAGAGGGCCGTATCAGCAGCAGCAAAAACATCAGCAGCAGCAGCAGCAGCAGCACGGGCAGCAGGGAGATTACCGCAATAACCCCCCGCACATGCAGGGAAACGCTAATTACAACCATGCGAAGAACATGGACGAATTAGAGGAGATGCTAAAGAAGCTGAATCCGGATGCTAAGGCGTATTCTCCGCCTTCGGGGGGAGCTGGGGGGGGAAGAGGCGGGGGAAGGAGGGGGGAGGACAATAGGAGCAACGGCGGAGGGAGGGGGAGAGGGGGTCGAGGAGGAGAAGGCGGAGGAGGATCCGGGGGAGCCGGGGCTAGAAACGAAGACGGTCAGCAGCAGGGTGACGTGGCTGCTTCCGCTGGTGCCACGTCAGCACGGAACGGACAGGTGTCTCCGAATGGGAGGCAGCAGGGGATGGAGGGGCGGCAGAGTCAGCAGCAGCAGGGGCAGATGAAGGTGGGTTGTGGTGGTAACCAACCAGTACTTGAGGTTACCTTGTCACCGTTAAGGCGTTTGAAGTCGTTTCATTTCATTTCATGTGTCAAGAGATTAGTTGCATGCTGAATTCTCTTGACCCTTGCTTCTTTCACTTGAAAGAAGGGGCAGAGTTAGGTGCAGAGAGAGCAGAGAGAGGGGCAGAGAGGGCAGAGAGAGGGGCAGACGAGAGGGAGAGGGAGAGGAAAAGAGAATGGGGCAGGAGAGAGGGAGAGAGAGGGGCAGAGAGAGGGGCAGAGGGACATGCCGTGTCGATGTTACATGCCTTTTTTCGTACCAATGTTATTTCAAACCATTTCCCATGCCATACACGTGCAGAATAAAGGCTCTGGCGCTGGAAATGCGGGGATGGGAGCGGGTGGTCCTGCTGGTGGAGGGGGTGTTTTTGAGACGCCTCAGAAACTTACTTGTGTCCCGTGCATCTGTTTCACACGTGCAGAATAAAGGCTCTGGCGCTGGAAATGCGGGGATGGGAGCGGGTGGTCCTGCTGGTGGGGGTGGGAATCAGCGGAGGGGGCAGCAAGCGAGGGCAGGGCAGCAGCCCACGGAGGAGAGCACCCAGCGGACGGTCTATGTGTCTGACATCGACCACCAGGTGAGTTGGCTTCTGTCTTGAGATCTCTGTAAAACGCGACGTGTCGTGTCACCTCCAAAAGCAGTAGCAAGCAAGTGATGGGAGTATGCAATGGAATGGACGGAGGAGCAGCTCGCCTCTCTCCTTTCCTCTTCTCGTCCTCGTGCCCTACCTCCCTTTCCCCGCCTGTGATCACCATTTCTTCGCTTTCCGTCCTCCCGCCGTCCTCACCTTTTTCACCGCCCCCTCCCTGCGATGATCTCACCATGGCAGGTGACGGAGGAGCAGCTCGCCACTCTCTTTCTCTCCCCCTTCCCTGTATCACAGTAGTACCTTTCTCCCCGCCCGTCTCTGTGCTGTGCTGTCCTTTGCCCCCACTTCTTCCGTCTCCTTTGACCCCACTTCTCACCATGGCAGGTGACGGAGGAGCAGCTCGCCACTCTCTTTCTCTCCTGTGGCCAGGTGAGTTTCCAGGTGCATCATAGCTTCAGGTGAGTTTTTAGTAGCCTCGTAGCTTCAGATGAATTTCCAGGTGCCTCATGGCCTCAGGTGAGTTTTTAGTAGCCTCGTAGCTTCACTTGAATTTCCAGGTGCCTCATGGCCTCAGGTGAGTTTTCAGGTGCCTCAAATTCATAAGTCCGTGTACTCTCCTGCCACGTCTGCCTGCGTCTGTATGTCATAGGAGGTGAACTGTTGAATCTGTGGGGAACCAAATACACCCTTGAGTTGACTCCAAAGTTACCGCGACTGAAACTACATTTCTTTTATGCCTCATATTCTCCTTGTCTGCCCCTGTCTGTCACAGGTGGTGGACTGTCGGATCTGTGGGGACCCCAATTCGGTGCTCCGATTTGCATTTGTGGAGTTTACAGATGAAGGTACGCTGCAAGTGGGCAGTAGCGTCATCAATCAGTGAGTGAAAAGCGAGTAATAGCTTTATGTTTCCAATGTCTTATTGCGTTTTGGCTAAAACGGTCTGAATGCTATACTCTCAGTTTCCAATAGCGGTTTTTTTCCTTCTTCCAGAGGGGGTTTAGAACGCTTTGAGACCCAACCCCTGTCCCACATCTCTCTCCTCTCCCCCACACCTGTCGTTCCTCTCTTCCCGCTCCTTTCTCTGCCCCTTTCTTTCCTCCGTTTCCTCCATAAGTTTTCCCCCATGTCTTTCCTTTCCTCTGCACCTCTCGTGCCTTGTCTCGTCCCTCCCATTTAAACCAGAGGGAACCAGAAGGACAATGCTGGGGTACTACCCTCTCCAACTGCTCCTCTATTTTCCCCAATCCCTTGTCTCCATCTCTTTCCTCTCCCTCTCTTGCCTGTTTCCTCTTTCATTCCAAAGGGAGCCAAGAAGGCTCTGAGTATAGCTGGGACGATGCTATATTCGAGTGACTTTTGAGAATTCTCAAAGGACGATGCTGGGGTTCTATTCTACCCTCTCAGGGTGCTCCTCTCTTTTCTCTCATCTCGTTCCTTCTTTTTCTCTTCTCTTGCAACTCTCTTGCAACTCTCGTGCTTCTCATGTTCAGAGGGGGCCAAGAACGCGTTGAGCATAGCAGGCACGATGCTAGGATACTACCCGCTCCGGGTGCTGCCTTCTAAGACCGCCATCCTGCCAGTCAACCCCACCTACCTCCCCAAGGTACATGTACATCTACTGCTACACCGCGTGCCAGTAGTGCAGTACAGGGCATGTGTCTTGTGGGTCACCTTGCCGGGCCGGGGTACTACCCTCTCCGGGTGCTGCCTTCTAAGACCGCCATCCTGCCAGTCAACCCCACCTACCTCCCAAAGGTGCATTGACTGCGACTGTGCTTGATTGCTGCTGGAGTGCTGTGCTGGTGGGGTAGGTAGGTAGGGCTGGGTTGCAGGGCGAGGGGGTTGGCTTGGCGCTGGGATATTCCCAAGACTGCAGTGTGGTTCACAACCCAAACCAAGGTGGCGCTGAGCCAAGATGTGCCTTGTGGGGTACTACCCGCTCCGGGTGCTCCCTTCCAAGACTGCAGTGTGGTTCACAACCCACCCAACCCAAGGTGGCGCTGAGTGAAGATGTGCCTTGTGGGGTGCTGCTAGGGTACTACCCGCTCCGGGTGCTCCCTTCCAAGACTGCCATCCTCCCTGTCAACCCCACCTATCTCCCCAAGGTGCCTTTCCGATGCGTAGTACCTGCCATCGTCCTGGGGTGCTGCTGGGCTGCTGATGATGATGGGCTGCTGCTTTCCTTGGTTCACCCCCAAACTCATGCTTTTGTTGCACCACCCGCTGCGCTTTTTTTTTCGTCCCCCGTGTTTGTCACATCAGAGTCAGGAGGAGAGGGGGATGTGTGCTCGCAATCTAACTTTTAATTTGACTAAAAAAAAATCCCCTTCCCCGTCACCTGCTCGCATCCCCATACTTGCTGTTGCACTGTGCATTTCGGTTCCTGCTTTCCCCCGTGTTTGTCACATCAGAGCCAGGAGGAGAGGGAGATGTGTGCCCGCACCGTAACTTTTGAGTTGACTCAAAAATCTCCCCCTTCCTCCCCCACCTGCTCGCATCCCCCGTACTTGCTGTTGCACTGTGCATTTCGGTTCCTGCTTTCCCCCGTGTTTGACACTTCAGAGCCAGGAGGAGAGGGAGATGTGTGCTCGCACTGTGTATTGCACCAACATTGATAAGAAGGTGAGGCGAGAAGCGAGAGGAAAGGCAGGAATGTGACGCGAGAGGGTAAGGGGAACAAGGGGAGATAGCACAGAGTCAAGAGGAGAGGGAGATGTGTGCTCGCACTGTGTATTGCACCAACATTGACAAGAAGGTGAGGGGGGAGGCGAGAGGAAAGGCAAGCCAAGGAGTGTTTTTTGAGAATTCTCAAAAAGCGCAAGGCAAGGAGTGTTTGTTGAGAATTCTCAAAAAGCGCAAGGCAAGGAGTGTCGAGGCAGTAGGGGATAGATAGGGGGGGGGGGAGTGGTGGCAAGAAGGTGAAAGGGAAGGAGGGGAAGCGCCAGTCAAGGCAAGAAGTGGGGTGAGAATATCCTGGGTTTAGGGTTTAGGCTGGGTTTTCCCCTGTTTCTTTGTCCCTTGCATCAACTGCTCCTTGCCTTCTCACCTGCTTGCTAAACCGCTGATCCACCCACACAGTAGAAAGCTTCTTGCCGCAAGTGACTTGCTTTTCTCACTCTTATCGATTCCCACACCACGCTTTGACACGTTTTGAGACGTCACCGCACCACAAAACACTTCTTCATTCACGTGATTACCACACCACCCTTTGACACGTTTTGAGACGTCACCACACCACACCACACCACACCACCCTTTCTTTCACGTGATTACATTACCACACCACACCACCCCTTTGACTCGTTTCAGAACCTTGCTAATCACTCTTGAGACATATTAAGAACTTATCAGTCGCCCTCCTCCCTCCCTCACTCCCTCACTCGCTCACTCACTCACTCCCTCCCTCGCTCACTCACTCACTCCCTCCCTCACTCCCTCCCTCACTCCCTCCTTCACTCCCTCACCCACTCACTCCCTCACTCGCTCCCTCGCTCCCTCACTCCTTCCCTCACTCACTGCAGGTCACTCAGGCAGATGTGAAGCTCTTCTTTGAGTCTCTCTGCGGAGAGGTGAGCCAAGGTTTGGTGCGGTTGAATGTGTTTGAATACGGCTAAGTAAATGTTGATGCAGCCTCGCCCCTCGCCTCCAGGTGCTGGGTTAGCACCACTCCTCCCACGTGAAATCCGTACCCCCCTCTTCCCCTTCCCCCTCCACTTCCCCCTTCCCTTCCCCACTCGCACACCCCCCCCCCCCCCCCCCCCTCTCTCCCCCACTCCCCCCCCACCCAAACCATCTTGTTCAGATTTATTGTCTGGGCCAGTTTAATGATTACCATTACTACACACACATACATATTCCCGCGTCTCAGATCTCGTGTGTTAGATCTCGCGTGTTGGATCTCGCGTGTTAGATCTCGCGTGTTAGATCTCGCGTGTTGGATCTCGCGTGTTAGATCTCGCGTGTTAGATCTCGCGTGTTAGATCTCGCGTGTTAGATCTCGCGTGTTAGATCTCGCGTGTTAGATCTCGCGTGTTAGATCTCGCGTGTTAGATCTCGCGTGTTAGATCTCGCGTGTTAGATCTCGCGTGTTAGATCTCGCGTGTTAGATCTCGCGTGTTAGATCTCGCGTGTTAGATCTCGCGTGTTAGATCTCGCGTGTTAGATCTCGCGTGTTAGATCTCGCGTGTTAGATCTCGCGTGTTAGATCTCGCGTGTTAGATCTCGCGTGTTAGATCTCGCGTGTTAGATCTCGCGTGTTAGATCTCGCGTGTTAGATCTCGCGTGTTAGATCTCGCGTGTTAGATCTCGCGTGTTAGATCTCGCGTGTTAGATCTCGCGTGTTAGATCTCGCGTGTTAGATCTCGCGTGTTAGATCTCGCGTGTTAGATCTCGCGTGTTAGATCTCGCGTGTTAGATCTCGCGTGTTAGATCTCGCGTGTTAGATCTCGCGTGTTAGATCTCGCGTGTTAGATCTCGCGTGTTAGATCTCGCGTGTTAGATCTCGCGTGTTAGATCTCGCGTGTTAGATCTCGCGTGTTAGATCTCGCGTGTTAGATCTCGCGTGTTAGATCTCGCGTGTTAGATATCGCGTGTTAGATCTCGCGTGTTAGATCTCGCGTGTTAGATCTCGCGTGTTAGATCTCGCGTGTTAGATCTCGCGTGTTAGATCTCGCGTGTTAGATCTCGCGTGTTAGATCTCGCGTGTTAGATCTCGCGTGTTAGATCTCGCATGTTAGATCTCGCGTGTTAGATCTCGTGTGTTAGATCTCGCGCCTTTGTCTGCTGTGCGATTATCATCACTCTACTCGCATGAGATCGGCACCTCTTTGGAAAGCCAACCAACCGCACTCCACTCCCCATCTCCCTTTTTTCCCCCATCTTCTTCCCATTTTTCTTCTCAGATCTCTCGTCTCCGTCTGTTGGGCGATTACCACCATTCTACTCGCATTGCCTTTGTTGAATTCGTGATGGTGAGTGATGGGGATGACAAGGGGTGATGGTGGGTGATGAGGGGTAATGGTGGGTGGTGGCTCTTTCTCTCTGCACATCCATTTGGAGACTGCATTTGCTATCAAATGCACCTTTGCAGCTGGAAAAGCTACCTGCGCAAAGCTCTCCGTTCCTAGCTAACCTCTGCTTTCTAAATGAACCTCTCTTCACCTTTGATTAACGCTCTGAATTGCTCTGCATCTCTCTGCACCTTTCACTTCCCCAGGCTGAGAGCGCCATGGCAGCATTAAACTGCAGCGGAGCCATCCTGGGCTCACTCCCCATCAGGTCAGTCTCTTCACCTCTCTGCACCACTCAGCACCACGCCACCACACCTATCCACACCTCGCGTTCTCCCCCAGGTTGAGAGCGCCATGGCAGCATTAAACTGCAGCGGAGCCATCCTGGGCTCACTCCCCATCAGGTCAGTCTCTTTACCTCTCTGCACCACTCAGCACCGCGCCACCACACCTATCCACACCTAGCGTTCTCCCCCAGGTGGAGAGCGCGATGGCAGCATCAAACTGCAGTAAAGCCATCCTGGGTTCACTCCCCATCAGCTTTTGAGTCGACTCAAAGCCATCCTGGGTTCACTCCCCATCAGCTTTTGAGTCGACTCAAAGCCATCCTGGGTTCACTCCCCATCAGGTCAGTGAAGCTCCTCCCTGATCACATCACATATCGGGGTGCGTCCCCCAGAGCCATCCTGGGCTCACTCCCCATCAGGTATCGGGGTGAGTCCCTCAGATGAGTGAGTGAGTCCCTCAGATGAGTGAGTGAGTCCCTCAGATGAGTGAGTGAGTCCCTCAGATGAGTGAGTGAGTCCCTCAGATGAGTGAGTGAGTCCCTCACTCCCTGAACACATATCAGGGTGCGTCCCTCAGAGATCCTACGTGCGAGTCCCTCCCTCTGCCGTCCTGCAGTGATCCTTTTTCAACTCCTTTGTGTCTCCTATTCTTATCCAACCCTTATGGTCCATCCAATCAGAGTGAGCCGCTTCTATAGACCCCTGTGCGCCCACGAGCGCCCACGCAGCACCTGCTGTCCCCCCCACCCCACCCCCTCTCTGCTGCCCTCTCCTTGTCCTCGAGTTGACTTTTGAGTTGACTTTTGAGTTTACTCAAAAGTCAACTCGCGCAGCACCTGCTGTTCCCCCCACCCCACCCCCTCTCTGCCGCCCTCTCCTTGTCCTCTCCCCCTATTCCCCCTCCCCCCCGCTTCCCCTCCACCAGGGTGAGCCCTTTCAAGACCTCTGTGCGCCCACGAGCGCCCAGGCAGCGCCTATTCCTCTTCGTTGAGTTGAATTTTGAGGCGCCTCAAAAGTCAATTCAACGCCCACGAGCGCCCACGAGCGCCCACAAGCGCCCAGGCAGCGCCTATTCCTCTTCCATCCAAACCTCCCCCTCTTCCGCCCTCGCCCGTCCTCCTTCCTCCAACCCTACCCTTAATCCCCTTATCCACCAGGGTGAGTGGAGTCCTTCCACGACCCCTGTGCTCCCACGAGCGCCCAGGCAGCATCGGCTGTCCCCTCTTGCTCCACCCTTACCCCTCGTATCCCCCCCATTTTTCCCCTTCCCCCCCCCTCTCTCTCTCCCCATCATATTGAGTCCCTCCAAGGCCCCTGTGCGCCCACGAGCGCCCACTAACGTCCAGGCAACTTGCGAGGCGCCTCAATCCCCTGTCCCTCCAAAACTAAGCTCCTCCCTTCCCCCAATCCCTCTCCCCCTCCCTTCCCCCAATCCCTCTCCCCCCCCCCCCCCTCTTCAGGGTGAGTCCTTCCAAGACCCCTGTGCGCCCACGAGCGCCCAGGCAGCATGGGGGGAGGTAGTGACAGGGGGAGGGGCGGCATGGGGGGATGTAGTGAGTAGGGGAGGGGCGGCATGGGGGAGAGGTAGCAACTGGGGGAGGGGCGGCATGGGCAGAGGGGAGGTAGCAACTGGGGGGAGGGGTGGGATGGGGGGAGCTGGTAACAGGGGGAGGGGCGGCATGGGAGGAGGTAGCACCTGGGGTAGGGGCTGCACTGGGGGAGGTATAAATTGAACGAGGGGCGAAATGGAAGGAGGTAGCATAAAGACTAGCTATGTCTGGAACAGTTGGTATCATTGGGTGGGTGGCGAAGTAAAAACAGGTAGGTCGGGGCGGGGGGAAGAGGGGAGGAGATGAGGCAAGAGACGGGGGCCGAGAGGGGGATGAGTGAGGCACGGATATTTTTTTTTAGGCGCCTCAAAAACGACCTCAAGGCATGAGACGGGGGCCAAGAGGGGGATGAGTGAGGCAGGGAGATGAGCTATGACAGGAGTCTGCAATGGGAGAGGAGTTGAATTTTGAGTCGAGTCAAAAGAGGGGGATGAGTGAGGCAGGGAGATGAGCTATGACAGGAGTCTGCAATGGGGGAGGAGTTGACTTTTGAGTCGAGTCAAAAGAGGGGGATGAGTGAGGCAGGGAGATGAGCTATGACAGGAGTCTGCAATGGGGGAGGAGTTGACTTTTGAGTCGAGTCAAAAGAGGGGGATGAGTGAGGCAGGGAGATGAGCTATGACAGGAGTCTGCAATGGGGGAGGAGTTGACTTTTGAGTCGAGTCAAAAGAGGGGGATGAGTGAGGCAGGGAGATGAGCTATGACAGGAGTCTGCAATGGGGGAGGAGTTGACTTTTGAGTCGAGTCAAAAGAGGGGGATGAGTGAGGCAGGGAGATGAGCTATGACAGGAGTCTGCAATGGGGGAGGAGTTGACTTTTGAGTCGAGTCAAAAGAGGGGGATGAGTGAGGCAGGGAGATGAGCTATGACAGGAGTCTGCAATGGGGGGGGAGTTGACTTTTGAGTCGAGTCAAAAGAGGGGGATGAGTGAGGCAGGGAGATGAGCTATGACAGGAGTCTGCAATGGGGGAGGAGTTGAGTTTTGAGTCGAGTCAAAAGAGGGGGATGAGTGAGGCAGGGAGATGAGCTATGACAGGAGTCTGCAATGGGGGAGGAGTTGAGTTTTGAGTCGAGTCAAAAGAGGGGGATGAGTGAGGCAGGGAGATGAGCTATGACAGGAGTCTGCAATGGGGGAGGAGTTGAGTTTTGAGTCGAGTCAAAAGAGGGGGATGAGTGAGGCAGGGAGATGAGCTATGACAGGAGTCTGCAATGGGGGAGGAAGGACCAGTTCGAAATGGGGTATGCGTTTGGACTTTGAAAAAAAAGGGGGGGTGAGAGAATGGAAAAAAGGAAAACGGGCTTCAAAAGAAGGAGGAGGAGGAGCAGTGCAGAGTCTGCAATAGGGTGGTTTTGACAGAATTAGGCGCTATTATTCAGCACCTCGGTATTTATCGGGGTGGACGTTGCAACCCCCATTTGAGAATACTCAAAAACGGCTTGAATCGAACAGAGTCGACCACGAAGCTGCGTGGTTTTGAAGCTGGGGAGCGGTAAGCCGAAGGTAGGGCGGTGGGCGATAGTTTTGGGGGTTTTATCAGACGCTGATATCGCCTCTGGGACGTTATGGGGAAACTCTGATTTGAGGGCCCTTTCAGGAGTCTCGCTCCTCTTGCCCATGATTGGAGGGGCCCTGGGTCATCCCGTTTGCCATGAGAGAATTGCCGCTGCTGGGTTGGTTGAGCCGTCAGTAGAATCGACCGGTGAAGTTGAAGGAGCTGCTAGCTGCTGTGCGGTTCGATATGGTGCGTGGTGGTGCAATGGGTGGGTGGACAGGGTTGTATATTGGAGGTGCCTCAGAAATAAGCTGCTGATTTGGCTGGGCCGAATCTGAAGGAGGAGCTCTGCTAGGTGCTGTGCGGTTCGAAATGGTGGGTGGCGGTGCAATGGGAATAATGATAAGAATAATTGCAGTGCACGAATAAGGGAGAGGTAAATAAGGTTTTGGAATAACGGCAAGCAGCAGCAGCAGCAGTTTCGGAGAGGCGATTGGGTGAATGGGGTAGCAGGTGCAAGGGCAGCTGCAGTGGCTGTCAGAATAAGGATTGGGAAGGACAAGGCAACAGCAGCACTGAAGCAGCATGGGTGATGGAATGTGGAAGGACCAGCAGCAACTCCAGCAACAGCACAGGGAGGACTAGTGTAGTCCAGGGGAGCAGCAGCAACAGCAGCTGCAGCAGCAACAGCAGGTGCAGCAGCAGCAGCAACAACATTCAGTGAAGGTGGGGCAGGCTCGGCAGACAAACAGGAGCCATGTCTTTACGTGGCAGCGACTGATTTTTGGCAGTAAAGTCTCGGCAGTGGCGTGGACTGGTTGGTTCAACCCTCCTATTTCAGGGCTTTTACCATTTGGCTGGTTTATCTGATAGTATGAGCCAGTAATTATTTAGGTTAGAGAAAGTGGGCCAAATAAATGGGATTGTGAAGGGAAAGAGGATGGGAGGGGATTGGAAGGGGTGGAGGAGGATGGGAAGGATTTGGGGGGTGTGTCAGGAGAGTTAGATTTTCTGGCAAGCTGGTGCACTGGAATAACGGTTACCTATAGAGGGGTAATTTTATTACCACTAGATGTTATACAGTATTGTGCATGCCTGACCACAAGCCCAAAAGTTGCGGATTCCATTTTGCCATCATTCCACACCATGTTATGTTATTGAATTTTCCATTCGCCTAGGTCAGGTTAAGGCATATGCAAGTGGAATTGATAAGCTTCCCACAAACAATGCTACAACCTGAAGCGTGATCCATTCATTGGTAGTAGTACGGTAGTACCTTACTGATTTAATATCCGTTGTAATTTATTAAGAATGCACGGTAGAGTGTAACAGCCTAGTCAGCAAGAGTCGACCCTAGCAGCATAACGAACGGCTACCACCTGTATGCGTGGTTTCATGTGAAAATAGCAACGTCTAGGAAGTCACCAGTCTGTTTGGTGGGGGCATGGGGACGGGAGGAGGGACCGAGCGGGAAATGGGAGAGGGGGAGGAAAGGAAGGGAGCGAAAGGAAGGGGAGGGAAAGAAAGGGACATGCTTTGTTTCAGGAGGGAGATTGCAATGTTGAGTAAATCCCCATCTAAGTACCGTTTGTTGCATGTAGGGAACAGCTGGAAGTGTGGAAAGGGGAAAGGGGGGGTGTGAAGGGGGTGGGGGAGGTAAACCAGAACAGTAAATTTTGTTATTTCTTTCCCAGGAAAAAAAAAAAAAAAGGAATGCTACACATTGGATGCTTCACACTAATGTTGCGCTGATGCAATGCAAATGGCAACCTCAACTTAGGTTGCAGGTGTGATAATTCCATTTGCATTGCACATGGAAAGCTCACCTGAAATCCCAGCTCGTGCAATGTCCTGTTGTCATCGGGTGTTGGTCTGCGAGTCATTGAGTTGGTGATACCGGCCTGACATGGGGGGGAGAGGGGATAGAGAAGAGGCAAGGAGAATGTGGCATAAGGAGAGATGCGGAGGGTGTGTTGGTCCGCGCCGCGGGTGTGTTGGTCTGTGTCGAAGGTGTGTTGGTCTGTGCCGAAGGTGTGTGGGTTTGCGCCGAAGGTGTGTGGGTTTGCGCCGAAGGTGTGTGGGTTTGCGCCGAAGGTGTGTTGGTTTGCGCCGAAGGTGTGTGGGTTTGCGCCGCGGGTTATGGAGTTGGTAATACCGGCGTGGTGTGGGTGGGAGTGGAGAGAGTGAGGAGGCCAGGAATGAGAGGAAGGACGTCAGCATGGTAAGAAGGTGACGTTTGAGTCGACTCAAAACGAGGTGACGTTTGAGTCGACTCAAAACGAGGTGAAGTTTGAGTCGACTCAAAACGAGGTGACTTTTGAGTCGACTCAAAACGAGGTGACTTTTGAGTCGACTCAAAACGAGGTGACTTTTGAGTCGACTCAAAACGAGGTGACTTTTGAGTCGACTCAAAACGAGGTGACTTTTGAGTCACTCAAAACGAGGTGACTTTTGAGTCGACTCAAAACGAGGTGACTTTTGAGTCGACTCAAAACGAGGTGACTTTTGAGTCGACTCAAAACGAGGTGACTTTTGAGTCGACTCAAAAGGTGACTTTTGCGTCGACGCAAAACGAGGTGACGTTTGAGTCGACTCAAAGGCCAGGAATGAGAGGAAGGACGTCAGCATGGGATAAGGAAGGAATTAGAGGTAACAGATGAGGCTGTAAGGAACAAGAGACCAAGAGACAGGCAATGGTGCTGGGAAACATGATTTTTCAGAATTCTCAAAAACCACTCGCATGGTGCTGGGAAACATGAAGCGACGAAGCAAGCTAACGTGCGACCGCTATGCTTGGGATGAACATGGAAATGATAGCACGCGAAGCGGGAATGTTTGTTTCTTTGCTTATTTCTTCGTTTCTTTGCTTGTTTCTTTGTTTCTTTGTTTCTTTGCTTGTTTCTTTGTTTCTTTCTTTGTTTGTTTCTTTGTTTGTTTGTTTGTTTGTTTGTTTGTTTGTGGGTTGTGGTTGTACGTTTCATCCCTTTCTCCCCATCCTTTCTTACTTGTTTCCTCACATTCCTCCCTTGTCTATTTGGGTAACCGAACATTCCTTGGAGTCTGGGACACTTTTGAGTCGACTCAAAAGTCACCTCTGTTTCCTCACATTCCTTCTTGTCTATTTGGGTAACCGAGCGTTCCTCAGCCTCTGCGATGCGACCACCATAGCATGCCTCTGGCACTCCTACCTACCTCCTCTCACCCCCCCACTCTCACCTGTTTCATCACGTTCCTCCCCTGTCTATTCGGGTACACAAACGCAAACGATAACAAAGCCTCCCTTTTAAGTCAACTCAAGAATGCCTCACCTGTTTCATCACGTTCCTCCCCTGTCTATTTGGGTACACGAATGCAAAAGATAGCCGCGCTTCCCTACGACGGGCCTCCGGCACCACCTCCTTCAACTGAAACAGCCAATAACGAGTACAGGGGCAGAGACGTGAATGAGTGAATGTTCAGTGAATGCTCACTAAATCGGTCAGCTCTCTCAGGGGAGCGTCCTTCCACGTGTACATCTGCACCTCCTCCTTGGGCTACTTCCCAGCACCCTCACAACATGAATGTTCAGTGAATACTCACCAGATCCATCAGTTCTCTCAGGGGAGCGTCCTTCCACGTGTACATCTGCACCTCCTCCTTGGGCTACTTCCCAGCACCCTCACATCATGAATGTTCAGTGAATACTCACCAGATCTGTCAGTTCTCTCAGGGTGGCGTCCTTCCACGTGTACATCTGCACCTCCTCCTTGGGCTCCTGCCCTCTCGTTGCGAATGCTTCCAAATCGTGATGCCCCCCGTGCTGCTAGTTACAACACGAGCACAAACCACAAGGCGGAAGGGGAGGAAGTGAAAAGGAAAGATCAGACAACGCATCCCTCCCTCCCTCCCTCCCTCCCTCCCTCCCTCCTTGAGACTCCTTCCTAACCCTCCCCCTGCAAAGGCGTCCTAATCGTGATGCCCCCCGTGCTGCCATGAGGTAGAGAATGGGAGAAAATGGGAGAAAGGGAGATAAGGAATTCAGACAACGCATCCCTCCTTGGGCTCCTGTCCCTCTCCCTGCAAAGGCATCTAAATCATATGATGCTCCCTGTGCTGTTATTTGCAAGAGCACACAGGACAAAACAAAGGAAAATGGGAGACCAGGAGACCAGTCAGTCAGACAACGCATCCCTCCTTGGGCTCCTGCCCCTCTCCCTGCAGAGGCTTCCAAATCGTGATGCCCCCCGTGCTGCTAGTTACAACACGAGCACAAACCACAAGGCGGAAGGGAGAGAGTGAAAAGGAAAGATCAGACAACGCATCCCTCCTTGGACTCCTGCCCCTCTCGCTGCAGAGACGTCCAAATCTGATCCGTGTTGTTATTTGCAACAAGAACACAATGGAAACACGAGGACGAGAGGAGGAAAGGAGGTAAGAGATCAGTCGACACATCTCTCATTATTTTGGAATTGGGGTAAAGGGGTGAGGGCTTTTGGAATTGGGGTAAAGGGGTGAGGGCTTTTGGAATTGGGGTAAAGGGGTGAGGGCTTTTGGAATTGGGGTAAAGGGGTGAGGGCTTTTGGAATTGGGGTAAAGGGGTGAGGGCTTTTGGAATTGGGGTAAAGGGGTGAGGGCTTTTGGAATTGGGGTAAAGGGGTGAGGGCTTTTGGAATTGGGGTAAAGGGGTGAGGGCTTTTGGAATTGGGGTAAAGGGGTGAGGGCTTTTGGAATCGGGGTAAAGGGGTGAGGGCTTTTGGGTGAACTCAGAAAGAGAAACTCACGGTGTTGTGTAAACGGGCAGAGGAACATGACAATTTGGGGAAAGGGCGACATATTGGGAAAAGGGCGACAGATTGGGAAAAGGGTGACAGATTGGGAAAAGGGCGACAGATTGGGAAAGGAGTGACAAACTGGGAAAGGGGTGACATGTTGGGCAAACCGGCGAGATATTGGGGAAGGGGTGGCATATTGGGAAAGTAGAGCCATATTGGGAAAGGGGTGACATATTGGGAAAGGAGTGTTATATTGGGAAAGGGTTGACATAGGGAAAGGGGTGACATATTGGGAAAGCGGTTAGATATTAGGAAAGGGTGACATATTGGGAAAGGGTGACATACTAAAAAAGGATTAACACGCTCAGAAAGGGGAGCACATGAGGAGCAATGGTGAAAAGTGGCATTGCCAGATGGGGATGGTTGGTCACATGGCATGGCATGTGTTGGCTACATACTAAGCATGTGGATGGCAAACGTAGTATGGGCATGGATGGCCCATCCCATGGATGGCCCATGGATGGCCCACGCCTATGGACGGCTACATGATAAGGAAAGAAAAATATACCTTATCCTTTGACCTAAAGCATTGTTGTTTTCAACTGACCTTGTGAAATACTCGTAGCAGCAGCGGACATGTCTGTAATGATGAGAAAACAGGATGAGTTTGGAAGGGGAGGAGGGAGAAGAGGAGGGGGGGTGGGGGGAGAGGGGGGAGGAGGGGACGGGAAGGGGAGGGGGGAGGGTGGGGGGGACGGGGAATGAGGGAAAAAAAGTGAGAGACCACAGGCAGGGGCATAAAAAACGCATGAGGAAAAAGCGAAAGGGAAAAGGATCGGGCATGAGGAGGAAGTGAACACGAGCAAGGGAATACGTGGAATTAGGGTTCCTGGCACGCCGAATCAGACTGCCCCACAGCTTCCGCTTTAATTACACTCTCCCACCCCATCAGCGCATAACTAGTTGCATCTCGCATTTTCTGGAAGCAAAATGGTCGACAATATCGGGATCACCATTGATTGGAGAAGCGCGCACCTTTTCTCCACCCAATGGCAGTCAAACACCGACGCGCGCACCTTTCCCCCACCCAGAAACAGGCGACACCGAAGCGCGCACCTTCTCGCGGTCCACGACGATTGGCTGATGCGGCACGGCCATCATGGGCGCCGCGGCTCGGGCCAGGTTCGGTATTCTCGAGGACCGATTCTGCGCGTCCGCCGCCGCTGCAGCCGCCGCTATTTGGATTGACATCAACGCCGCCAGATTTGATACGCGAATAGACGGAACGTGCTCGTGTAACGGGGTGCGAAACGGCTTTAGGAGGGACAGGAAAAAAAAAAACTATATCGCTATATGGAGCTCGTTGCGGTCAACGCCGTCAGATTGCGGAACGAAGTTGATGTATGAAGATCAACAGCTGTGAGGATGACCGAGAAAGCGCTTGTGAGGAAGTGCGTCTAGGGTGCGTCTGCAAATGAGAATCAAGAAAATCACGATGCGCACGCAACGTAGAGATTGAGAAGGAGTGGGCGCGACGAGACAGCGAGATGCTAGGACCTAGTGCTATTCAATCACTATCACCTAGAGTGAAGAGCAGCGAGTGAAGGGAAGGAAACAGAGGGAGGAGCAATGGGAGGTGGCGAAAAGGAATCAGAAAACTCGAGAAATACTCGTTATACGCATCCTTGCGTGTTCGAAACGTATCCTGCAAGGGTGTATGGAGACACAACACTCGCAGTTTCATTAATACAGTAAAAGATGGGGCACAAATGGCCTTCTTTTCATATAGTTTCAATTTTTGTAGATAAATTGTACAGGAAACTAGCTCACTCTCGTTACACGAGCAAGCTTGCAACAGCCTGCATTAGCGACCTCAGATAAATTCAACAGATGAAAGTGATCTCAAATAAAATAAGCTTACATAAACAATATGGATCAGCCAATATCCTCCCCTCAAACGCATCTTCTGCTCAGACTCTCAGGCATGCAGGCATGTCTTTTGAGACGTCTCAAAACTAGCAGGCATGCAGGCATGTCTTGTGGCCGCGCCACTCATGCATGCACCTATCAGATACCTCCCACCACATGTGCAAGCAGTGTCATATTCTCCTCCAGCTTGGCCAGACATTCATCTTGGCCCATAAAAGGAATCAGCTACCCTACCTACCCTCTCTCCCCTCCCTTTAACCCACTGCTCCCCCTCTCTCCTTTCCATCAACGTCAGCAGCGACGCAATCTCTCCAAGATTGGCCAGCCTTTCTTTACGCACACGTAAAGGGTAATTATCCTACCCCTCTTCGCCCCCCTTCTTTCCGCTCCATCTGGGTGAGCAACGATGTAGTCTCACTGCCCCCCTTCTTTCCGTTCCATCTGCGTCAGCAGCGAGGTTATCTCCTCCAGCTTGGCCAGCCGTTGCCGCTCACTCTCTGTCACAATCTGATGCACAGAAATGGATCAGGCGGGGAGGGGTGGGGAAGGGTGGGGAGGGGTGGGGAGGGGTGGGGGGGATGTGAAGGGATGGTTTGAGTGCCAGCTGCCATGGCGAGAGGAGGATGATTGAAACAGGACCTGCCATGGCGTGGATGGTTAGCTTTGAGTGCAACCTGCCATGGCACCTGAACGAGCATTGCCATGCCAGCTGCCAATGCTGCTCATACTCCGTCAGGTGTGGCACCAGGCGCGGCGGTCGGAGTCAGCTATGAGGAAATCACTTTTCGGAATTCTCAAAAGTGCTCACACTCCGTCAGGTGTTGCACCAGGTGCGGAGGTGGGAGTCGCATTCCTGACCAGCTCGCATGTGTGTGCATTCTGCGCACTTTGAGCAGACGGAAGCATGGCAAGTGTGCTGACTCAAACGCAGCTCACCTAGAAAAAAAACTCCCCACCATCTCACCTCGAACAGTTTCCCAACCAGCTCTGACTTCTGTGCATTCTTGTTGTTGTATGCCGTGGTGGCATCCTTCAGCTCCTTCTCCTGCCGTTGATGGAGGGGTATGGGGGGTATGGGGAGTATGGGGGGTATGGGGGGCATGGGGGGCATGGCGAAATTGAGTCGACTTATAAGTTTTTTCCTTCTTGTTGTTGTATGCCGTGGTGGCATCCTTGAGCTCCTTCTCCTGCCGTGGGGCATGGGGTGTGTGGATATGTGGATATGGGGCCACGGGGCATCCCAGGCCAGGCATTGGGTATGGGGCGGGGGCATGGGGCATGGGGCATGGGGCATGTGGGGCATGTGGGGCATGTGTGGCATGTGGGGCATGTGGGGCATGTGCGGCATGTGGGGCATGTGGGGCATGTGGGGCATGCAGGGCATTGGACATGTGGGGGGCATGGGGTATTGGACATGTGGGGGGCATGGGGTATCAGGCATGTGGGGGGCATGGAGTATTGGGCATGTGGGGGGCATGGGGTATTGGGCATGTCGGGGGCATGGGGTATTGGGAATGTGGGGGTATGGGGCATCGGGCATGTGGGGCATAAATTAGCGAACATGTGAAACATGGGTTATGCGGGGGTGTGGATGTGAGAATTCTCAAAAACACCCTCCCTGCACCCCACATGCATCACAGACCCTGTCTGCATGCATCACCACATCACACGCTAAAAAACAGTTTGCTAAAAGCTGCTCCCGCCACGCAAAGACCATGACTCCTGTCTGGGATTCGATTGGTGTGAATTCTCAAACACACCCTCCCTGCACCCCACATGCATCACAGACCCTGCCTGCATCACCACATCTCGCATCCCTCCCATTCGCCCACCTCCTCTCAACAAGAGCACGCATGGGCCTCAGCTCCCTATCCACCAGCTCAATCCGCTTTCTCGAATCCCCACCTGCAGCACATGCATCATACTCCCTCCATCACACACTCCCTGCACCACCACGCACCACCACACACCACCACACACCACCACGCACCACCACGCACCACCACGCATCACCACGCATCACCATGCATCCCGCATCACCACGCATCACCGCACATCACCACACGTTCTTTTTTCTCACTCACCTTCCTCTCAACAAAGAGCCCGCATGGGCCTTAGCTCCCTATCCAACAGCTCCATCCGCTTCTTCAAATCCCCATCAGCTCAGACTCCTTGCATCACCATGCATCACCCTGCACCACACTCCCTGTCTGCATCACCACACACCACCACACATCACCACACATCCTTCACCTCTCACCCACCTTCCTCTCAACAAGCGCACGCATGGGCCTCAGCTCCCGATCCACCAGCTCGATCTGCTTCTTCAAATCCCCATCTGCAGCACATGCGTTGCAGATCCTGCCTGCATCACCATGCATCACCATGCATCACCATGCATCACCACGCATCACCACACTCCTACCTTCCTCTCCACCAGAACACGCATGGGCCTCTGCTCCCGATCCATCAGCTCGATCCGCTTCCTCAAATCCCCATCAGATCAACCTCTCTGCATCACCACACATCACCGCGCATCACCGCATATCAACATGCATCAACCCACCTTCCTCTCCACCAGAGCCCGCATGGGCCTCAGCTCCCGATCCACCAGCTCGATCCGCTTCTTCAAATCCCCATCAGATCAAACTCCCTGCATCACCACACATCACCGCGCATCACCGCATATCACCATGCATCAACCCACCTTCCTCTCCACAAGCGCCCGCATGGGCCTCAGCTCCCGATCCACCAGCTCGATCCGTTTCCTCAAATCCGCCACCTCCTTCTTGGTCGGGTCCTCTATTGTATCCAACTCCTGCAGAGGAAAAAAAGGTAGAAGAAAGGGTAGGGGGACAAGGTAAAAGGGGGGCACGTGGAGTGAATACAGGGTGAGACTGACAGTCACCTCCCTCTTGGTCGGATCCTCTATTGTCTCCAACTCCTGGTGGGTTTATAGGGGGAGGAGGACAAGGGAAACGCGGGTGAAAAGGAGGGCACGCTGAGCGAGTACAGGGTAAGACTGTCAACCACCTCCTTCTTGGTCGGACCCTCTATTGTCGCCAACTCCTGATGGGTTTATAGGGGGAGGAGGACAAGGGAAACGCGGGCGAAAAGGAGGGAACGTGGAGTGAATACAGGGTGAGACTGACAGTCACCTCCCTCTTGGTCGGATCCTCTATCGTCTCCAGCTTTCCTGATGGGTAAATAGGGGGGGGGGGGGACAAGGGGAGCGCAGGTGAAAAGGAGGGTACGCTGAGCGAGTACAGGGTAAGATTGTCAATCACCTCCTTTCTGAGCTACATGTAGACAGAGTTGTTTTGAGACGACTCAATCACCTCCTTTCTGAGCTACATGTAGACAGAGTTGTTTTGAGACGACTCAATCACCTCCTTTCTGAGCTACATGTAGACAGAGTTGTTTTGAGACGACTCAATCACCTCCTTTCTGAGCTACATGTAGACAGAGTTGTTTTGAGACGACTCAATCACCTCCTTTCTGAGCTACATGTAGACAGAGTTGTTTTGAGATGACTCAATCACCTCCTTTCTGAGCTACATGTAGACAGAGTTGTTTTGAGACGACTCAATCACCTCCTTTCTGAGCTACATGTAGACAGAGTTGTTTTGAGACGACTCAATCACCTCCTTTCTGAGCTACATGTAGACAGAGTTGTTTTGAGACGACTCAATCACCTCCTTTCTGAGCTACATGTAGACAGAGTTGTTTTGAGACGACTCAATCACCTCCTTTCTGAGCTACATGTAGACAGACAGAGTTGTTTTGAGACGACTCAATCACCTCCTTTCTGAGCTACATGTAGACACAGTTGTTTTGAGACGTCTCAATCACCTCCTTTCTGAGCTACATGTAGACAGAGTTGTTTTGAGACGACTCAATCACATCCTTTCTGAGCTACATGTAGACAGAGTTGTTTTGAGACGACTCAATCACCTCCTTTCTGAGCTACATGTAGACACAGTTGTTTTGAGACGTCTCAATCACCTCCTTTCTGAGCTACATGTAGACAGACAGAGTTGTTTTGAGACGACTCAATCACCTCCTTTCTGAGCTACATGTAGACACAGTTGTTTTGAGACGTCTCAATCACCTCCTTTCTGAGCTACATGTAGACACAGTTGTTTTGAGACGACTCAATCACCTCCTTTCTGAGCTACATGTAGACAGAGTTGTTTTGAGACGACTCAATCACCTCCTTTCTGAGCTACATGTAGACAGAGTTGTTTTGAGACGACTCAATCACCTCCTTTCTGAGCTACATCTAGACAGAGTTGTTTTGAGACGTCTCAATCACCTCCTTTCTGAGCTACATGTAGACAGAGTTGTTTTGAGACGTCTCAATCACCTCCTTTCTGAGCTACATGTAGACAGAGTTGTTTTGAGACGACTCAATCACCTCCTTTCTGAGCTACATGTAGACAGAGTTGTTTTGAGACGACTCAATCACCTCCTTTCTGAGCTACATGTAGACAGAGTTGTTTTGAGACGTCTCAATCACCTCCTTTCTGAGCTACATGTAGACAGAGTTGTTTTGAGACGTCTCAATCACCTCCTTTCTGAGCTACATGTAGACAGAGTTGTTTTGAGACGGCTCAATCACCTCCTTTCTGAGCTACATGTAGACATAGTTGTTTTGAGACGACTCAATCACCTCCTTTCTGAGCTACATGTAGACAGAGTTGTTTTGAGACGTCTCAACCACCTCCTTTCTGAGCTACATGTAGACAGACAGAGTTGTTTTGAGACGTCTCAATCACCTCCTTTCTGAGCTGCTCTGTCTCAAACAACTCTGTCTACGCGAATACAGGGTAAGACTGTCAACCACCTCCTTTCTCAGCTGCTCTAGCTTCCTCGCCTCCTGCTCCACGCGAGTCACCTGCTGCCTGACGAGTCAACTCACTGGCTTGGCTGGGTCACAGCAATTTCCCTTCCAACACCCCCCGTCCTCCCTTCCACCAACACCCCCCTACCCCTCCCTCCTACCTTTCTGCAGCTGCTCTAGCTTCCTCGCCTCCTGCTCCACGCGAGTCACCTGCTGCCTGACGAGTCAACTCACTGGCTTGGCTGGGTCACAACAACCCCCACCCCCCAACCCCACCCACCCCTTGGCGGCCCTCACCTTCCGCAGCTGCTCCAGCTTCTTCGCCTCCTGCTCAACGCGCGTCACCTGCTGCGCCACGCGCTTCTGCACCGCCTCCTGCATGCGCCTCAGCTCCTCCTCCTTGGTCCTCAGGCTCGTCTCCGTGGCGTGCAGCTGCTGATCCTTGGCTGCGCGCTCCTGGCTCGCCGGGTTGTCTAACGGAACTTGCGTCAGCTGCCCGTCCGCCAGCGGCGGCGCCGCCACTGGGGGTGCAGACTGAGTAGACGGGCGCGGGGGTTGGGGGAATGGGGGGAGGGGGAGGGGAGAGGGAGGGAGAGGGAGGGAGAGGGGAGGAAGAGGGAGTAGAGAATGCAAATCGCTGCCTGCTCCACTTGCGTCAGCTGGCCGTCCGCCAGCGGCGGCGCCACTGGGGGGGCGGACTGAATAGACGGGTGCGCAGGAGGGCGAGAGGCAGGGAGAAGGGAGCGAGTGGGAGGGGGGAAAAGGGGGTTGGGAAAGTGAAGCTCTTGGAAAGACAAACTGTAACAAATTCCAATTGCTGAAAAATCACAAGGCATCATTGTGAGGCTTCAATGCCTTCCTGGCGAGAGTCTGAGTCCTACACTTGAAAAAACGCTGATTGGCGAAATCCGGGAATCTGGTTACCTGAAGACCTGGAAATTCAGGGATTTGGGAATCTGAATATCTGAAAATATAGGGGGAACGGGCGGCTTGGCGGATTCATCGAGCACTGGAGTGTCCGCCAGTGCTTTGGAATATCTGAAAACGTACGTCCGTTTTTCAGAATTTTCAAAAGTGATTAAGCGGGTGGAAGTACGCGTTGCGCACCAATTACATTCCATTGCGTAATCGATTAAATTTAGTGTGTATCAAAAGAATTAATAACTCACCCTTTGAGAGGCGGAGCCGCCCCACGCTTCCATTTGAACGGACATCGCTCGTTGCTTGGCGGGATCCGGCGAACCAGACAGCCTCGTCGGCTCCCCCAACCCCAGATGCCTTGCCGGTTCCGCGGGTCCCGAATGTCCGTTAAGACTCGCCATTCCGAACTGCCCGCTTTGGTTCGCCATGCTGAACTGGGCGGCCTGGTTCGGCATCCCAAACTGTCCGGCCTGATTCGGCATCCCGAACTGCCCTGCCTGGTTCGGCATCCCGAACTGCCCGGCCGAGTTCGGCATTCCGAACTGGCCGGAATGGTTCTGCATGGAACCACGCAGGCTCTGGTCTAATCCTGATAGGATGTTCTGCTCCATTGTCAGCAGACGTGGTCAGCAGACGTCAGTCAGAAGACGTGAGTCACCAGACGTGAGTCAGAAGACGAGAGTTAGCAGACGTGAGTCAGCAGACGAGAGTTAGCAGCCGCGAGTCAGCAGACGGAACACGTCGGATTTCGTATCCAAGCTCTAATTTTTGCAGATGGGGAACGTCAATCTACGCGACGAGCTCCGCGCTTAAAAGTGGAACTCCGGGGCTCTTAATACGTGTCTGAATGAATTGGTATTAACTTCATAATATATATCACATCGAGATACGCTTTGGAAGAGAGCCACCGTGTAGAAGGGACGAGCTTGCAACGCACAGGCTTGCTTTTGTTTCTATCGGCGTTGTTATTCAGCGACACCACTAGTAGGCTGACCAAACGAAGTTGCTGACTGAACGACACCGCGAGAGTTGCTAGGTTACAGACACTTTTCTAGCGAACAGAATGAAGAGGAGTTCAGCACAGATAGATAGCGGAGAAATGGAAGGGATAGTCCCGCAAAACACGGCGACCATATAACCTCGTCCTGCTTCGCAAAAGGCGGACGAATCTAGGAATTGGAACCAGGAATAACGTGAACAATGATGGATGAGGGGGATGTTCCAGCATTTGTCGAATGATCGATCGTTCAGTACGGTTCAGTAGCGTTTCACACGGTTTAGGAGACGTTCTGGCTTTTCACCGCCCTAAATCGCAATACACCTATCAGAAGAGTTCGTACCTGCCTAGAAATGTGAGGACGTTGGATCTCAAGCTGCCTTACCTCATGTCGTCTCAGATGTCTCATTAGCCTAAAGACCCTAATGAACCGTTATTTATCGCAAGTATTCATCTCTAAACCTCATACAATCCCGCGGATAGTTACAACATGCTGCCTGGTTGGCATCCAGGGTAGGTATCGAGCAAGCTGTTCGCTTCGCGCCTTGGGAACTTGCTGCAGGGCTTCGGCACGGCAAATGAGAAACTCGTTGGTCTGACTGTGGTCTGGTTCGGATGACGTTCAGTGAGTATTTCTGACATCAGCGGTTTCGTTCGGCCCTGACAGACCATCCTGCCAATCACAGAACGCAATTCGTAGGGTCATGGCGAAACTGTGAATCTCTAACACCGCTTTCCACTGTGTGGAACAGTCCTGAGACGCGAAGCATGAACTGTAATTTACGACCTGACCACGCTGTCACCAGGGCTGGAGTCTGTGAATCATACCCAGTTTGTAGCGCACGCATTTAGACTAAGCTACAGTTCGAATGTACTATTTCATAGCGTATAAAATTAAAACATTATCATTCATGTCTATGTAGTATTTCAGAAGAGTAGCCTAACGTCATCCCCAGTACCGGCTCGTTTTCTTCTTGAACTCTTCATCTTCCCGCCACTACTGCTCTCCTCACCCGCCCGGCACAAGGGAACCTCAGCCAAATCACCCTCTTCCATTCCACCACCCCCTGGCAGCGAACCCATAACCCCAGACACCATATTCAGCTCACAATCTGAGCCGTCCATTTGCCTGCTCGTATCTACCTCTCGAATAAGAGACGAAAGCGAGCTCAATAGCAGAGAGCGTGAGTCTGCTTCCACAGCTGCCGCTGTTGCTGCTGATGTTGCTGATGATGATACAACTCCTCTTTCTGCACCAGCTGCTGATCCATCTGTTACTTCTGCTGCTGTTCCTGCAGCTTGCACTCCTGCTGCTGCTGCAGCGTTTTTCCCAGAAGCATATTCCGCAGCTGCTTCTGGTGCTGCCGGGAGGACAACAGATGGACCAGCAGCAACAGAGGAACCCTGTGGGACAGCAAATAGCGCTGCCACCTCTGCATCTACCGCATTCCCGTGCTCTTCAATACTGTCCCCACCGCTTCCATTACCCATACCTTGTGTGATTTCAGGAGGCATATATCTTCTACTATTGCTTCCAGCAGCACTACCCATGGCACTTGTTTCCGTAATGTTGTTGCTGCTGCTGCTGCCGCTAATGCCGCTGCTGGGATTCCGGCGAACCGGAACAGAGGAGAGGACAGCAGAGGAGGACGAGGACGTATACACCAACGGACCTTCCGACGAGCCGAAACCCCTGCCCGACTGGTGCTGCTCGCTCTCCTGACTCCCGCTCACCTTCCCATTCTGCTGCTGCTGCGCCTGCTTCAGCTGCTTCTTAGACTGCTTCAGCAGACTCTGCTTCTGTTGCTGCTGCTGCTTGTGCAATCTGGAAGGAGGAGGGGCCTCCAGCACCCCGACCACAGCAACCGCTCTGCTGCTGCGCCTGCGCTCGCGCGAGTGGTACACGAAGCAGAGAGACACCACCCACACGAAGACAAGAGCGCCAAGGAGGGCGAAGAAGGTGTGAAAGTACTTGTCTCGCTCGTCGACTATCAAGTCGAGCGTGGAGTTGGATGGGATGATGAGGGGCGACGTGAAGTTGGTCCGCAGCTGCTCCGATGGACCTGAGTGGGTGGGGGTGGGGGGAGAAGTGGGGAAGAGCACGGCAGGGGAATGAGAGGAGGCAGGAACAGAGGGGGTCCCGTTCATCCACTACGAGATCGAGTGTGGAGTTGGATGGGATGATGAGCGGTGGTGAAGTTGGTCCTCAAAATCTTGCGCTTCCACCAGCGTCTGACAATTCGCCCCAGTGTGCGTGAAGGGGCACTTGCAAATGGTGGCGTTGGCTTCCTCTGAGAACACGCACACGCCTCCGTTGGCCCTTGCAGACGGTGCCCTTTACAATCATCCCCATTATTAGAACCACAACTCACCAAAATCCTGTGCTTCGACCAGGGTCTGGCAGCTCGCCCCAGTGTGCGTGGAGAGACAACTGCAGATGGAGGCGTTGCCTCCTCTGAGAACACATACTCGTTACACTCAGCTCCGTTACGTTGCTCATTACCGCACGTAATCACACTACACTCACCGAAATCCTGTGCCTCCACCAGGGTCTGGCAACTCGCCCCAGTGTGCGTGGAGAGACACTTGCAGATGGAGGCGTTGCCTCGTCTGAAAACACGCACATGCCTCCGTTGGCACTTGTAGATAGCACCTTTTACAATCATCCTCGATATTAGAACCACAGGACTCACCGAAATCTTGAGCTTCCACCAGCGTCTGACAGCTGGCGCCAGTGTGCGTGGAAGGGCACTTGCAGATGGTGGCGTTGGCCTCCTCTGAGAACACACACATGCCTCCGTTGGCGCACCAAAGCCCCGTGCTGCAGGCCACCACAGGCGTCTGACACTTGGAGCCCTGAGGTGTGAGCAGAGGCAGAGTTGGTGGGGATTTAAAAAAAAAGTTTATATTCTCGGGACCCAAAAACACGCACATGCCTCCGTCATCGCACCAGAGCCCCGTGCTGCAGGCCACCACACAGGCGTCTGACACTTGGAGCCCTGCGGTTGGAGCAGGAGTAGAGAAGGGGTGGAGGAGAGAGGGGAAAGGGCGAGCGGGGGAGAGGGGAGAGAGGAGGGGGGTGGGGGGGGGAGGGGGAGAAGATGGGGAGGGAGGGGCAAGAGGGGTGCCGAACATTCCTCCTCATGAACAGAGGAGTAAAGGAACAGCGAACATCCCTTCTCATGCCGTTTTTTTGGTCCCTCTGGAACTTGTATTGTGAGGGCACGAGCAAAGAAAGCCCTAAGCACCCAGCACGACGCGTCTCCAGCTTTTGTAATCGACGCATGTACGATATACGCGAAAGGGCCGCACCTGGAACTGATGTGGGCACGAGCAGAGAAACCCTTTCTCATGCCCCCTGTTTTCTCTCCTGACGGCTCATCTGGAACTTGTGAGGGCACGAGCAGAGGAACCACTGGGCGCCCATCGCTAATCGCATATCCCGCTGTTCTAGTCGACTCACGTACGATGTACGGGAGAGGGAGCCGCACCTGGAACTTATGAGGGCACGAGCAGAGGAACCCCTGAGCACCCATCGCGACGCATTTCCCGCCGTTCTCGCACCACCACGTGCCGTTGCATCGTACGGCCTCCGTTTGACACGATTTCCCGCGGAAGTACAGCCCCGTCTCGTGATCGTACGGCTGACACTCGCACTCGGGTTCCTTGGTCTTAGGGTTCAGCTTGCACGTGCCGTTGTGCAGACATCCCGGCTCGCACACGAGGTGCAGGTTTCGCGGAACGGATCGGGCTGTAACGGGAGATGATTGTGACAGTAACGAGAGGACGACAACGAAGATGGAGGCTACGAGGAGGACGGGTGGAGAATAAAAACTTCTCATACGCGGAAGCCGTAAGTTGGAGCATAGCCGTGACTTTTTGGAGGATCGATGCATGGCTGCGAGTCGTAAGTTGATTCTAAAAATGCATCTGTACTAATAGCCCGGACTGCCGCCAAGCTTTCGACGCCGATGCTTTCTAATCGGACCTGGACGCGAGAATATGGTAAAGAGAACACCCGTGGATTTAAGGAGGCTTGTGGAGTGGAGTGCTCGAAACGACTTCGTACTGGATTTAAAAAACCCCAATCAATCTCTAGACTGCGGAGCTGCAGAACGAGTATGTAAGGAACGACCGTTCACTCGTGCAAGGAATTGGTGCGCAAGTATTCGAGGTGAGAACGAGTGCGAGCTAGCTGTGAAAGAAAGGCCCAAAGACCAAATGCTATTCGCTCAAAGACCAAATGCTATTCGAGGGACTACACTAAGCAACAAAACGCAGACTACTGCCTACCTAGAAGCAGCAACAACAGCTTCGCTTCGAATATGGCTCGCTCACAGCTTTTTATATCAATAATTGCTGAACGATCGAGATTGGCTGCTGAACACCATGCAATGCACATGTCCAATATCAACTGAATGACGCGAGCAGTTGAACTGACTTGCTGGACGGAAGGGGACTGATGACTCGTCTAAAGAAATGTGCCTAGAAAATATATATTGCGTTCGTTTTCTAGTCATGTATCACGGTTTTGTAAGGTTTGTATACTATCCATAGTGGTATTGCGCGTTGGTACCAGACTGAAACGCACGGAACAAGAGCGTCAGAAGGTGACAAAGCCTCCCTGGAAGATAAGCTTATGTGGAAGGATGCTCTTGTCGAATGCTGAACGAAACGAGACGGAACGTAAACAGACTTGTCACATGCAAATTTGGGTAAAGCGATTACGTTGGGGCTCTTGCACCGTGTGGAAAACCCTTTGACCGTTTCCTAACTTCACAAAATGCTCAGTCTTCAACAGCGCCACCAACGCACCATAGACTTCGGTTAGCTGACGGAAGTACTCCAACTGTGCAAACGAAACTGCCCAGCCAATCAGTACGTGGGGAAAAGATTATGTACGTCAACTGCTCACAACCAAAACGAGTTACTCAAAGCTCGCCGTTCCGACCTTCAAGGAGCCGAAAACGCGGTGCGCGTTTAACGAACGACTAGGTAAACCGTCGATGGGAGAAAGCCGAACGGTTGGGTAGGCCGCCGCACTCAGCGTGGCGGACATATGGTGTCTCCACCCTACAGTTACAAAAAACGGACTTGCTGCTTCTAAACTGGTACGCGTTTCCGGCGCATCCCGTGTAAGAAATTAGGAGTTTCGCTGAATCACTTGCAAACCCAATAAACACATGTTCTGCTTGAATTTCTCAACCATGGAGATACCTCAACAAATCCCAACCTGCGCCGATTCCCTTTTCACAAGGATCCACACAGTTCAGTTTTACCTCTATGATATGATATAAGCCCAATTCAGTACTTTCATTATATTTTGTCTTAGTTGCATTTGATACAGCTTCTAATGGCTCTGGACAATCGCGAGTAGTTGCTCATTAATGAAGTGGCCCGAAAATGTGGAGACAACACCAAGCTACACCAGAAGCTCAAGCGCGCCATGAGACTCTCGCCATGGACGAGGACGGTGCCAGCAATACAGGAACGAGTCAGTTCTGTGCTCGCACGCGACGCGAGCTCGATGCAGAAGACGAGACAACTACGCAAACGCCCATGAACAACTCCAAGATACTGCATCACTAGATAAGCGCTTACAAGGTACCGTACTGCTTGCTGCCTGCTGTAAAATCCGGCAGGAAGAACTCGCTTCACTTGAGCCGACGTGGCATAAGATGTTTTCGATAGACAACTCGGCTCTCGTAGTTTCGGCCATTTAGTCATGTGATATTGCTCCCACCAATTCTCTAAACGCAGCTCCCCAGACCCAACAGCAGAAGGAAACGGGAAATCCCCAGAAAGGAGTTCACGAACGTACAGAACTACATGTAGTATGACTTAGAGTTACAGCATTGGTACAAGCAAAGTAAGAATACAACCACCTATCTGCCACAAAAAAGTGTATATTTATTTCTTTCCACCCTTCCCGCCCTTCCCACCCTTGCCCCCCTTCCCTCCTTTCCCACCCTTGCCGCCCTTCCCAGCCTTTCTGCCCTTTCCAGTGCTTGTTGAGCCCGCAGTCTGGCCTTGATCCTGCCCGCCTGCTTCCCCCTGCTCCCGCCAGCCCCGCTCTGCTCTCCGCCAGCACCCCCTTGCTCTCCGCCAGGGCCTCCTTGCTCTCCGCCAGGACCCCACTGCTCACCGCCAGGGCCCCCCTGCTCTCCGCCAGGACCCCCCTGCTCTCCGCTAGGGCCCCCCTGCTCTCCGCCAGGGCCCCCCTGCACTCCGCCCGGGCCCCCCTACTCTCCGCCAGGGCCCCCCTGCTCTCCGCCAGGGCCCCCCTGCTCGCCACCAGGCCCGCCCTGCGCTCCGCCTGGCCCGCCCTGCTGGTTACCAGGCTTCCCTCCCTTTCCTCCCTTGCCCCCTTTCCCTCCCTTTCCGCCCTTACCTCCCTTCCCACCCTTCCCTCCCTTGCCTCCCTTTCCGCCCTTCCCGCCGCCCACCCGGGTGTTGACATGCTAGCGTGACTTAGGAGCCATGGCTAGTGAGTGTCTTAGTAGCTTAGGTTTAGGGTTAAGATGAATATCGAGAGAGTTGCAAGGAGAAAAGGTGTTCAATAAAGAGAGAAGGTACAAGGATATAGGCAAAGCAAGCAAGGTGCACCACCAAACAATGTAACACTACACTAACTACTCCTACAAGCAGTTTATATCAGAAATATATTTCAACACCCGGGACCGCCGGGACCACCCTCCCCAATGTCGCCGCCACTGCCGGTAACTCCTCCATTTCCGGTATCTCCACCAATGTCTCCGCCACTTCTGGTATCGCCATTGCCGATATCTTCGCAAACGTCTCTGCCATTGCCGGTATCCCCGCCATTGCTGGTATCTTCGCCAGGGCCCCCTTGCGCTCCGCCAGGCCCGCCTTGCTGGTTACCAGGCTTCCCTCCCTTTCCCCCCTTGCCCCCTTTCCCGCCCTTTCCCCCCTTGCCTCCCTTCCCATCCTTCCCTCCCTTTCCGCCCTTTCCGCCCATCCCGGGACCGCCGGGACCGCCAGGACCAACGTCGCCGCCACTGCCGGTATCTCCCCCATTGCCGGTATCTCCGCCAATGTCGCCGCCAATATCTCCGCCAATATCTCCGCCACTGCTGATATCTTCGCCATTGCCGGTATCTCCGCCAATGTCTCCGGCGATGTCTCCGCCAATGTCCCCACCTATATCTCCGCCGTTTCCTGTTGAACAAGAATGAATGAACTAACGGTGAAACGAGTACAAATAGGAAACCCTAGAAATGTGTAACCCCTATAGGCTAACCCACTGTAGCCTAAATAACTAGAACAACATATATAATGTTTCACACACCCCCATAGGCGAAGTGGGGGAGAACTAGGGGTCACAAGACCAGTCAAGTAAAGCAAAGCAAAGCAAGCTCAGGGTGGATCACAACGTCACCACACATTCCGAGCACAAGTTCAAGGTCACAAGGCCGGTTCACATGCAGGAGTACATATATATATAAGGCTAAACAAGCAAGAGCAGCAATACATATATATGTAACAGTACATAGAGGGTCAAGAGGAGAGCAAGTGAGGCAAGACAGGCACAAGACCCAACTCGGTACAGAAGCGCTGATGATCACAAGGCGGAAGTGCCTTGGTGAAGACATCAGCAGTGTTGGCCTCAGAGGCCACGTACGCAAGTCGCAACTGACCACGGTGCTGTAGCTCACGAGCAAGGAAGTAGCAGAGAGCAATGTGCTTTGTTCTGTGCTCCAGTCTCTGCTCTCGACACAAGGCCAGCATGGCCTTGTTGTCTACGTACAGGACTAGAGGAGAACAAGGCGGCTCTCCAAGGTCGGTCAGCAGGTAGGTGAGCCAGCGAAGCTCCTGTGTAGCCATGGCCTCTGCGTAGATCTCAGCCTCACAACTGGAGCCGAGAACATAAGACGAGCGAGTAGCCCGCCACGAAACAGAGCCGGAACCAAGGCTGAAGGTGTAAGCCTGTGACGACCGCTGCGTAGCCTGATCGTCAGCCCAAGAAGCGTCTGCGTGACCAGTGAGGACCACTGGACTCCGCCCTCCAAGCACTAGCCCCATGCCCGACGTACTACACAAGTAGCGCAACACCCTCTTCGCTGCAGCCATGTGCTCTGGTCGGTGTCTCCTAGGAGCAACATAGCGTGCGAGAATGCTAAGAGGGTATGCAAGGTCAGGTCGTGTGCAAGTCATCAGGTACATGAGACAGCCAACAAGCTCTGGGTACGGGCCACTCGACTCTACGGAATCATCCGAAGGCAGAGCTGAGAGCGAGTGGCGAGTAGACGGAGGAGTGGCCTGAGACGAGGAGTACGTGAAGCCGAAGCGCTGAAGGACCTGCTGCACCATGCGTGACTGAGTCAGGGTGATGGTGCGGCGTGCTCTGTCCCGGGTGATCTGCAAGCCAAGGTAGCTGCGCAGTTCACCCAGATCTGTGCACGTGTGTCTCTTCTGCAGCTCGGACTTCACGTGGGCGAGTCCAGCAGTGTCAGCTGTGGCAAAGACCAAGTCGTCGATGTACACGAGGATGTAGAACGGTGGCAGAGAAGTGTCGGTGTGTAGAAACAGCAACGGGTCAGCAGTGGAGGGAGCAAACCCAAGAGCCGCAAGTGTAGTCCTCAGTGTGTCGTGCCACTCACACGGTGCCTGGCGGAGACCGTAGACCGGCCGCCGAAGGCTCCACTGGGTGCCAGGAGGAAAAGTCCCAGTGAAGCCAAGAGGGCGGCGCAGCCAGATCTCCTCGTGCAGGCTGCCCTGCAGGAAAGCAGTGCTGAAGTCAAGAGAGTGTAGCTCCTAGTCAGAGTGAGCAGCGACGTGCAGCAATACCCGAAGAGTGGTCATCTTTGGGGTGGGAGAGAAGGTCTGAAAGTAGTCAACTCCCTGCCGCTGATTGAAGCCACGAGCTACGTAACGCGCCTTGAAAACAGGAGGAGAACCCGGCGGTCGCTTCACCCTGAAAATCCACATGCCACTGACGATGTTCGCCCTAGGAGGGGGGACAGCGTCAACGTAGGTGCCTGTGGAATTCCTGGAAGCCATCTCTGCATCCATAGCTGCCTGCCACTGAGAAGAGTAGGGACCCTCTATCGCCTCCGCATAAGAGCGCGGAGTCGGGATGTCAAGTGCATCTGGGTCTCCCTCAGGGGTAAGCAGTACAGACACGAGATGAGGTGAAGCAGCGGCCAAGCACTGGAACTCCTCTTGCCTGTCCTCAAGGACGTCCGTGCCAAGGGCACACTCACCCCCGACGGATGGAGGACAGACAGACTCAGACTCAGCGACAAGACTAGCAGCGTAGTCTAGGCGACAGCGAGCAGCAAAGTCGACGAGCTGAGTAACTAGGGCAGACGCAGCAGTGGACTCGAAAGAAGGGTCAGTGACGACAGTAGCAAGGAGATGTGTGACAGTAGGATTGTCAGCACGAAGAGAGTCCGACGCCGGGTCGGCAAGAGTAGGAAGAGAGGACACAGGAGGAGACGGCAGAGGGACACGCTGCGGAGCAGTGGAAGGACGAAGCGCCATCCGGTGAGTGCCCGGGACAGCAAGAATACGCTGACCAGGGACACGACCACCAGTGAGAGCAGCACGGACAGGCGACGCACGGCGAGACTCAGGCGACGCAGGACGAGACTCAGGCTCACGACGCTCAGTAAGACCTCCAGTCGGACCAGTGTAAGGAGCAGGACCAGGGAGAGAGGAGGCAGACGGAGGACACCCTAAGGAGGGAGGAGGACAAGAAGGAGGAAGCTGACCAAGAACCTGCTGAAGGAGCGGAACGAAGTACGGGCGCTGCCGCGCAGCGACTCCAGAACCAGCAGAGACACCAACGCCAGGGTCCTTAGTACCAGCAGCAGCTCCAACACCAGGGTCCACAGCACCAGCCGCAGCTCCAACTCCCGGGTCCGCAGCACCAGCAGCAGCTCCAACGCACGGGTCCTCAGCACCAGCAGCAGCTCCAACGCCCGGGTCCGCAGCACCAGCAGCAGCTCCAACGCCCGGGTCTGCAGCAGCAACAGCAGCTCCAACGCCCGGGTCCGCAGCACCAGCAGCAGCTCCAACGCCCGGGTCCGCAGCACCAGCAGTAGCTCCAACGCCCGGGTCCGGAGCACCAGCAGCAGCTCCAACGCCCGGGTCCGCAGCACCAGTAGCAGCGGGGTCCGTGAGACAAGGCGCGCCACTCCGAAGCGTGCAGCGCCGCTCGTACCACTCACGGATCCGCTCACGGGAGGGGAGCTCCCGACTAGGAAGAGAAGTACAAGCACCAGTCCCTGTAGTGCGCCTGGCTTCACAGGTACCTCTCCGGAGGCTGCAGTACTGTAAGTACCACTCACGCAGTTGCTCCAAGGAGAGGCCTCGTCCAGGTGTAGGACCCTCAGGCCCAGCACCTCCAGAGTCAGAACCCCCAGGCCCCGCACCCCCAGGCTCAGCACCCCCATTCTCCGCACCCGCAGGCTCAGCACCCGCAGGCTCAGCTCCCCCAGTCTCCGCACCCCCAGGCTCAGCACCCCCAGTCTCCGCACCCCCAGGCTCAGCACCCCCAGTCTCCGCACCCCCAGGCTCAGCACCCCCAGTAGGACGAGAGTCGACAGCAACCTCAACAGGCTCAACCGGGTCTACCTGAGACACACCTGAGGGAGCGGCACCCTGAGGGGGGAGGGGGTCTACGACAGCAGCACCTGGCGCGAGGAAGAGAGGCGGGGGGGGGAGCGGGGCAGTGCGGTAGGGGAAGAGGCGGTAGAAGGGGACAGACTCGTCAAAAGTGACGTCCTGAGAGGGCAAGACCCGGCGCGAGGTGGCGTGGTAAAACTGCCAACCAGGCGCGTCCGGGATAAAGCCGATGAAGACGCAGGGAACAGCACGTGAGGAGAGCTTGTCCGCAGACGTATCGCGGACAAAAGCTCGAGATCCCCAGACCCGGAAGCGCGACGCATCGCCAACCTCCCCTGTCCACAGCAGTGTGGGCGAGGTCTCCGGCAAGGAGACACGGGGCCAGAGGTTGAGCTGATGCGCAGCGTACCGGACCGCAAACGGCCACAGAAAGTGGGGGGCAGCCGCATGGATCAAGGAGGTACGGGCGACCTCCATGACCAGGCCAATGCGGCGCTCCGCAACCCCATTCTGCTGTGGAGAGGCCGGAAGCGTGAACGACTGCTCAATGCCGTGCTCAGCACAGTAGGCTGCCAAGAGGTCGGAGGAGAACTCACCACCTCTGTCAGAGTGCAAGCGCAGGACAGGAAAGTCCGAGTGGAAACGCTCGCTGAGCTGGAGACGGGCTCTGCGGATCCAAGGGATCAAGACATCAGGGACCTCACCCTTGGTGCGCAAGGGGAAGACCGTGGTGTAGCACGAGTAGTCGACAACATCTATCAGGAAGTACCTCTCGTGACCCTGACCACGGACGTGGGCTGGGCCCCACACGTCCATGTGGAGCGTCTGCAAAGGAGCAGTCGTCGGGGGAAAAGAGGAGGAGTGAGGAGCGGCGCGCTGCCACCCCTCGACACAGGGAAGACAGGGAGGAGCAGGCGAGGGTGGGAGGGGAGGGAGGACCCTGGGAAGACCAGAGACAAGGTACCGGGAGTGCATGGCACGAAGGCGCTGCACAGACGGGTGGCCAAGTCGGTAGTGCCAGAGGACAGTCTCGTGCGCTAGAGAGCAACACGAGCAGGGGGCAGACAGCTGACCTGACGCGGACGCGGACGCAGACGCAGCAACCTGAGGGGATGCAGTAGTCAGTGTGTACAGGTCCGACCCCGGCTGCCGGGTGAAGGTAGCCAAGTGGCGGCCTGTACGAGCATACGTGCAGTGTGTCACACGATTGTAGGCAGGGGTGAACTGGTGAACACCCCTGTCCTGGAGTGCACAGCCTGCCACCAAGTTCGTAGAGAACGAGGGGAGGTGGAGACCTGACAGTGTGCCCGACGGGACCGCAGGACAGGGAAGGACAGTGGAGGAGGTCACAACGACCGGACCCCCAGAGGGGTCAGCGAGGGAGACAGCGACTGGCCGAGCAAGTGGCTCAAGGGCAGTGCGGTCACGAAAGAAACAGCGAGAAGCACCTGAGTCCAGCGTGAAGGTGTGTAGTGCTGTAGTCGACACAGTACTAGGGGGGGCAGACGTACAAGCACCTA